ATCACCCACGGACGTCACTCAGCACCACGGACGTCACCCACATCACGGACGTCACCTGGACCATGGACGTCACCCGCACCACGGACGGCACCCACACCACGGACGGCACCCGCAAAGAGGATGTCACCCACACCACGGACATCACCCGCATCACAGACATCACCCGCACCACGGACGTCACCCGCATCACGGACGTCACCTGCATCACGGACGTCACCCACACCACGGACGGCACTCGCACCACAGACATCACCTGCACCACGGACGTCACCCGCACCACGGATGTCACCCGCACCACGGACATCAACCGCATCACGGACATCACCCGCACCATGGACGTCACCCGCACCACGGACGTCACTGGCATCACAGACGTCACCCACACCACGGACGTCACCCGCATCACGGACATCACCTGCACCATGGATGTCACCCGCACCATGGACGTCACCCGCACCACGGACGTCACTCGCACCACAGACGTCACTCACACCACGGACATCACCCGCACCACGGACGTCACCCGCACCACGGACATCATTCGCACCATGGATGTCACCCGCATCACGGATGTCACCTGCACCACGGACGGCACCCGCACCACGGACGGCACCCGCACCATGGACGGCACCCGCACCATGGACGTCATCCGCACCACAGACATCACCCGCACCACGGACGTCACTCGCATCACGGACGTCACCCGCATCATGGACGTCACCCGCACCACAGACGGCACCCGCACCACGGACGGCACCCGCACCACGGACGTCACTCGCACCACGGACGTCACCCACATCACGGACGTCACCCACATCATGGACGTCACCTGCACCACGGACGTCACCTGCACCACGGACGTCACCCGCACCACGGACGTCACTCGCACCACGGACGTCACCTGCACCATGGACGTCAGCCGCACCACGGACGTCACCCGCACCACGGACGTCACTCGCACCACGGACATCACCCGCACCATGGACGTCACCCGCACCACGGACGTCACCTGCACCACGGACGTCACTGGCACCACGGACGTCACCTGCACCACGGACATCAACCGCATCATGGACATCACCCGCACCATGGACGTCACCCGCACCATGGACGTCACCGGCATCACAGACGTCACCCACACCACGGACGGCACCCGCACCACGGACATCACCCGCACCACGGATGTCACCCGCACCACGGATGTCACCCACATCACGGACGTCACCCGCACCACGGACGTCACCTGCACCACGGACGTCACCCGCACCACGGACGACACCCACACCACGGACGGCACCCGCACCACGGACGGCACCCACACCACGGACGGCACCTGCACCACGGACGGCACCCGCACCACGGACGTCACCCGCACCAAGGACGTCACCCGCACCACGGACGGCACCCGCACCACGGATGTCACCCACACTACGGACGGCACCCACACCACGGACGTCATTCGCACCACGGACGTCACCCACATCACGGACGTCACCCGCACCACGGACGTCACCTGCACCACGGATACCCTAAGTTATTGCAGAATAACATAGCACACGCATCTTAACGTGCTGTGCAAGGTAAGTTAAACAAGGCCATTACCATCATGATTTGATATTCGACAAGACGGCCATGTGATGAACATGGAGGCCTAGACCAACGAATACTACTCACTACACACACCGTACATGCATTACCAACCTTGGACCTTACCTGCAACGAACACGTCAATGGATTGTCCCTGAGCGTCACGTGTGCAGTGTCCTCTTTGGACAGTGCCATGAATACACGCCCCAGCGCGGCGAGCGAGGTGTTAATGGCGATGCTCTCTTCTTGGGCCCTCCTGACCTGCTGCTCAGCATCCTCACCCGTGACCAGGATGCCCTCAAAGCGGTCGCTGGAGGTAAGGTGTGCAGCATCGAGGAACAGCAGTATTATGCATGTAGGAATATCACAGGTGCCTCATGGCTGGGCACTTTCTACATGGCTGTCAGGACATGCAGACAGACATGAGAAGTGCGTGATAATTTGGCCCCCCTTCACCTACATGACGGACACCAGTATGATGAGCAACACCCTTACCTTCCGGCGAGGTCGACCAGCCAGAGTGAGCCCTGTCATGAAAGAGTGCATGCCAAATTAGGCTGGTCAGTGAGCATCTTGTTGGATTGTGCCGGTTGCACTGAAACCTATTTCGACATTTACCTGCTGGCCAGTTGGCCCAATATAGTACTGTGGCCTGCATACAACACTTGATCTCTCCTTAAGAGGCTACATACACTTTATGCGCGGGTTCTCAGTCTTCATTATGCACTCACCTGCAATGCTGGTTGGCGACTGGATGATCGCACGCGATTGTGAGGACCACCAGGCAATGTGAGCTGCTTGATGCCCCGTTCATGCGGGTCTTGCAGGTCTTCCAACGGCTTTTAACGCTGGCCAGCAGGTTGATTGCCGCCGGCATGTCCTTGACTCCCCCACCGTGGTGGCACCTGGGGTTACATGGGCAGAATCATCGGGGGCCAGCTCATTGATAACCTCGCATAATGTATGATGTGTGGGACAGGGGGGTCATATCTTCACCCTGCGGCTGCTACCCGGCAGACCCTGCCTTCCCCGGTATTTGGGGGGAACATTATCCAGTCACGCTAGCATACTTCTCAGTGGATCGCCCAGGTTCAGCGCCCACCACCGGCATCCAACGGAATCTGCCGGATAGACGGCGGCTCCAACTCCATTCCTGGTCAGCTCGCAGGTCAATTTTATCCCAGGTCACCACCGTCCATCGACTAGAGGCACTTTTACCTTCCAGCATCGGAAGGATTTTCGATCCTAACAGGTCTCGATCCTGGAACCTCCGGGGGCATTGGTGCGTGCTTTACTAGTAGTGCCTGACCTATGTATGGTATGTATGTGTTCAAGCCAGCAGTGTGGAATCGCTTTACCCAGCTAACCTGCACGTCTGGTTTGGATTATATATCCTGCAGAACAAAGCAGGTACAGGCCAGGTACGGCAGTCATGGAGCGGCTAGCGGCTAATGCCTTCGGGACGTGCCTGGTGATGTTGGATGTTACGAACGGCACCACGCACGATGTGTACACCATTCGTGGGAAGGAGCTCATCACGTGGGCTGGGCTGGGTGATTTGGCCCAGTTACACAGGTGGGGGATTTGGCCCAGTTACACAGGTGGGGGATTTGGCCCAGTTACACAGGTGGGGGATTTGGCCCAGTTACACAGGTGGGGGATTTGGCCCAGTTACACAGGTGGGGGATTTGGCCCAGTTACACAGGTGGGGGATTTGGCCCAGTTACACAGGTGGGGGATTTGGCCCAGTTACACAGGTGGGGGATTTGGCCCAGTTACACAGGTGGGGGATTTGGCCCAGTTACACAGGTGGGGGATTTGGCCCAGTTACACAGGTGGGGGATTTGGCCCAGTTACACAGGTGGGGGATTTGGCCCAGTTACACAGGTGGGGGATTTGGCCCAGTTACACAGGTGGGGGATTTGGCCCAGTTACACAGGTGGGGGATTTGGCCCAGTTACACAGGTGGGGGATTTGGCCCAGTTACACAGGTGGGGGATTTGGCCCAGTTACTCAGGTGGGGGATTTGGCCCAGTTACACAGGTGGGGGATTTGGCCCAGTTACACAGGTGGGGGATTTGGCCCAGTTACACAGGTGGGGGATTTGGCCCAGTTACACAGGTGGGGGATTTGGCCCAGTTACACAGGTGGGGGATTTGGCCCAGTTACACAGGTGGGGGATTTGGCCCAGTTACACAGGTGGGGGATTTGGCCCAGTTACACAGGTGGGGGATTTGGCCCAGTTACACAGGTGGGGGATTTGGCCCAGTTACACAGGTGGGGGATTTGGCCCAGTTACCACGTGCTTGACATCTGCTAAAAGCCTTCATGCTTTTCATGCACTTTGGGCTGCATAGCCTAGCTGTGTGTGCAACGGTGCTTTGACTTTGATGAAGGATTGTATTGCTAAGGGCTTGCATGGAGAACATGGTTAGGGGCAGCTCATATTCCATTCCCTCCTGTTGCAACATGCAGGCCCGCTACCCGCAGGCGCGGCACCGCCAGGCACATGAGAAACGGTCTACTCGCTTGGGTCGTTGAAGCTGGAGTAGCTTCCGGAGGAGGAACAGGTGTGGATGCGAACACTGTTCCAACTGCGCCGCTGTTTCGGCCCTGAAGGAGCAGTTGGACTCTGTCATTCCTTTCCTGCCTCCGGAGGAGCGTGTGACTACAGCGTTTGAGCTCATCCACACGGGGGTCATAGACGTGGACGCAGCAGGAGCCTGTTCCCCAAAATAAACGGTGTACTACTGATGAGCTGGGGTGAGCCAGTGTGGTTGCCATGCCATAATATCTTAAACGCAATGGGTTTGGTTGCCTGAGAGGTCATGGATTTCAGTTTGGGCTGTACGACGAGTTATTGTGTAAGCTGGCACTTGGGAGTACGGATAGTTCCGTATAGTTCTGAATTAGAGTCTGTTCTAACCTGTTTGCCTTATATGTTCAACTTACATCGATTCGCTGTTGCGGATAAAGCACAAGAGGCCGTTTCACCTGTAAGGGCGGGTCGTTAACCGCTCGTTCTACCCACCTCTCCGAAAGCCATTACCCTATTGTAACTAATTCCTAACCGGCACCACACTTGTCTCCACCAGCGTCCACCTGGCATGGAGGCTCAAGCCAGTAACACGGCCAAAAAAATTTTAAGCGGTCGAGTTTTTGTCGACGGCGAAACGCAAGCCGCGGCCGCAAGCCGCGTTCACAATCCTCAATCCATGCTCCCGAGTTCCTGCTATCCAGATATCGTATGTAGTTCCTGCATTGATTCGGGATTGTTACAACATGAAATTCAGGCCGTGTTCGTTCCTAGCTGGTTCACAGAGTGCCTTGCGAGCCTTATGAACTCAATTGCTGTTTGTCACAATTGCGCATTACTTTTTATATTCGACTTTGCAGCTGTGCACAACGCACTTGTCCATATAGATTGGCATTTGCTTGTGGAAGCAGCTTCGTCTCGTCCTGAATCCAGTCCGTTGCTGTACCTGGCGCGCAGCTCGGTTAGGGCTTCAACGTTACAGCGTTTTCACAAAGTTGCGCACCATCCTTGAGGGGCCAGCGACTGCTGTGTTCAGCCACCTTTCAGCGCTGATATAGGAGTGCCTTTCAACCGGAGTCCAGCAACTCGGGCGAACTGAACCTTACCACGCGCCGAGAGCACTAAGCGACAATATAAATATTTATCTATTAAAATAATTTGAGGACGCGCTCATAGTCCCCTGTAAGAGATGCAGTCAAGAAGTCAGGCTTTCAATGTGCGCCGGGGGTGGACACGTGCTGAAGTGCAAGCTGCAAAGCGCCAGGAAGAAGAATCAGAAGATTTGATTGAGCAGCCAGGTGAGCAGGGGTATACGGTGGCGTACATTACAGAGGATGTTACTTCCGTTAAAAGAGGTTGTCAGCGAAAACAAGCGACACCGCCGATGGCCAAGCACCCTCCCTCATTACTTCATTAATTTAAATGCAGATACCGAGGCCCTCTTGCAGCCCCAGCCATCCGGTCCTCATGCTGCTGCGACAAGCTATGGAAGTCCTCGGGACATGGAACCAACGGCAGATGCAGCTGCTCGCCGCGCTGCCTTCGCACGGAATCGGTCCTTGACCATGACTCGCACAAAGCGGAGATGGTGGCGCAGCGACGCTCGGGCCCTGAAGGAGATTCTGAGCAATTGGGCCAACGTGCTGCTGGTCACCGTCCCGCTGGGCCTTATTGCTGGTGCTCTGAACTGGACCGCCGAGTACGTGTTCGTTCTGGTGAGGAGCGCCTACATTTGTATTTGTATCTGGATCTTGATGGGGGAAAGGATCTGGGCTCGTACAGGGTTGACAGGTGGATCCTGGTGGACGAATCCAGGGAAAGGGGAGAGCTGTGCTTGGGATAGGGCGGCAAGGGCCAGGAGGCGAGAGAATGGAGGAGGCGGGAGAAAAAGAACAGCAAGTCACTAAAGAGGCTCCTTTCCCCTCCCCCTAAACCCCTAAACCGCTTAACCCCTAAACCACCCCCAACCTGCCTCCCGGTTTGGGTGATGGAGACGGCGACCGGGGGAGAGGGGAGACGGGGTTAAGGAAGGGAGGGGAGGGGAACGGTCGTGGCGTTACCTTGCAGTCCCACATTCCGTGATGGGTCCATCCGTCTCTGCATGTGCCTGTCCTTCATAGCGCATGAATGTTGGGTTTGCGCCCCGGCTTCCTTCTCTTCTTCGCTCCATGCATGTGCCCAACCCTCCCTCCTTCCCTCCCCTCCCCTACCTTCCCCCTTACCCCCCCTTACTTACCCTCCACTACCCTGCCCTGCCCTGCCGCACGCGTGTCCAGAACTTTCTCGCCCTCATACCCTTGGCGCTCATCCTGGGCGATGTCACAGAGGATCTGGCGCTGAGATACGGATCAGTGATTGGCGGGCTCATAAACGTGAGACAGACAGACAGACAGACAGACAGATAGGTGGACAGATAGATAGATGTGCAGACAGACAGATAGACAGATAGCGGGAGAGGCAGACGGACAGGTAGGTACGCACACACATACATACACACACGCGCACATATAACTTCGGACACAGATAACGGAGACACAGCAGAGAGGTGAAGAGAGCCTAGGGAAAGAGTCCTTGAGTGGGGTACGAAAGCGCTGTACGACGAGGAGCAGGCGGAAGGGTCGTACAGAGTAAGAAACCTAGAACACAGACATCGCACAAGCAAGCGCGACCAGGGGGGGGCCCTCCCGGGAGGAATGAACTGCCGCCGTCCTGAGTTCGAAACGATGAAGTCCCTCCGGTGGCGGTGGCGGTGGGGGGTGCGGCACCAGCAGGGGACTGAGGGGGGGTGTCCGCGACTTAGGGGGGGACGCCCAAGCAAGCACCCTCAAAGACACCTACGTCCGCTTCCCACATTACGTAAAATACACAGCTTCGCGCACACACACACACACACATTTATACACACACATACACACACATTCACACACATTCACACACATTCACACAACCACACAACCACACACACAACAAAAGTAAAACACAACACAACTCTTGACTTCCCTCCCTCCCGTCGTCCTCCTCCCCGCCCCCCCTCCCTCTCTCAACCCCCGCACACGCCTCCTCGACCTCCTAAAGGCCACTTTTGGCAACATAGTGGAGGTCATTCTGTCAATCGCAGCGCTGCTCAACGGACTGTACGCCGTAGTGGCGGCCTCCCTGCTTGGAAGCATCTTGTCCAACCTGCTGCTGGTCACGGGTAAGTTCGCGGTTGAGGTGGTTGGCAGTGGTTAAGATTCGGTTTTCGTACGAGAGTCGATGCCGGCCAATTGCATAAGGTCGGCGCAAAGGAAGGCGGTTTGCTGTTGACCGTTAGTGTGCGACCGTTGGTGTGTGACGACTAGTGTGCAACCTCTCCTCCCCCCCCCCTCCTCATGCCCTCCCCTCCTCTCACTTTCTCCCAACACAACCCCAGCAAGGTTTGAAGCCAACAAACTGTTTCCCCCCCGCCCCTCCCCCCCTTGGTTTTGGCTTTGGTTTTATATTTCCACAGGTTGCAGCTTCTTCTTCGGAGGGCTGTTCAATAAAACCCAAAAATTCAATGCGACCGGAAGCCAGGCGTCTGGGTGAGGGTTGGATCGTGCGGTTGGATGGGTTTGTGGCCGAGGGGAGGGGAGGGCAGGGGAGGGCAGGGGAGGGGAGGGGAGGGCAGGGGAGAACAGGGGAGGGCAGGGGAGGGCAGGGGAGGGGGCGAGGAAGGAAGATGTGGAAGGGGGGCGGCTAGAGAGAAGAAGTTCTAGTGTGAAAAGAGCTCTTGGTAGCCTGGGGCACGACTCGTAATCGTGGGGATGCGCCCACACGACCATACGAGCAGCAAAAAGCAAAGATCGTTCTGTTGGTTGGCGGTTGGCGGTTGGCTTCCCTGTCATTATTTTTGGACATCTGCAGATTGTAACCCTCAGGCATGTTCCACCTCGACACCTTCCGCCTCTCCCCTCCTGACCCCCTCCCCCTCTTCCTCCCCCTCCCCCTCCCAGCTCACTGCTCTTCCTGGCCGCTCTGGGTTTCCTGATCCCCGCGGGGGCGGCTTTGCTGTTTGGGTCGGGGGATGTGGACAGCAACAGTGAGCTGGTGCTGGGTATTAGCCGGGGTACGGCAGTTGTACTGCTGCTGTGGTGAGTGTGGGGTGTGTGTGGGACCGGGGGTGGGGGGGGCCCCGTATAAGGCAGGGGGTAGGGGGGAAGAGGGATTAAGGAAGGGAAGGCAAAACCAGTCCGAGCCGTACCCGGGCCTTCTCTGATGGGGATGTTGAATTGAATTGAATTGAATTGAATTGTTACAGAGTGGGAGGCTTCTGGGCCATCTGAACACATTGTCATTCCTACGATTTATCATACCACACAGCACCATCCACCATTACCACACTGTACTACGCCATACGAACTGGGAGTCCAAGGCGGTTGATCCTGCCTTCTAGGATCCCTCCTCATCCAATCACCCGAACATCCGCAGAGACAGAGGGTTCAGAAATCGCCACCAATCCAGCGTGGTGCGAATCTCGATGGGGATGTGGGTGTGGGGGTTCTTCCTTACGAGGATCACAACTCATCTCCCCATTCGCGTCCCTCCTACCCCTCCCCCCCTTCCCCTCTCCCCCCTTCCCCAGCTACGGCTGCTATCTGGGCTTCCAGCTGTACACACACACGGACCTATTCGAGGTGGGGTCGGAGGGGTTTAGGCGGTGGGGGGGAAAGGGGAGGGAGGGAGGGAGGGAGGGGCGTCCAGAAGTAGGCACTTGGTGGGTTCCTTTCGTGATTTTGCTGCCCCTCTCCCCCCCCCACACACACACACACGTACTCCCCTCCCGCTGACCCGCTAACCCGCCCCGCCCTCCCCGGCCAGGACACTCCCGAGGAGTCCTCTGCCAGTGGGGGGCCCCCCCTGGAGAGTCAGGAGCCCATGATGAGTCTGGTGACGTCACTCACACTGCTAACCGTCGTAACGCTCACAGTGGCGGCGGCGTCTGAGTAAGCTGCGGGGGGGGGGAAACCAGGGTGTGTGGGGGGGGGACAGGGTGGGGTGTACCTCACGGAGCCCCGCCCGAGGTGAAGGTGGAGAAGGGGCTGGTCGGGTCGCTGAAAACCCATTCATCCATGCATCCATTCATCCCTCCATCTAGCCACCAGGCAGGCAGGCAGCTGATTATGAGCCGCCATGTGCCCCCACGCCTTCACCACCTGCTCCAACCCCAACACCACCACACAACCCAATTTGTAAACCATGTTCATTTGCGGCGCCGGGAACTGCGACTGCGACCGCCAGTCTGGTTTCCTGTGCCCCCGCTGTTACACCCAACCTTACTTCCCTCCTCACTTCCCACCCCGCCCCTCGCCCCGTACGACATCCCCCTCGCGTGACCCCCCACACACACACACACACAACGCGCACCGCCGTACGGTGCAGTGCGGTGCGCTTCCTGCTCACCTTCTCCGCCCTCCATTTCCCCTCAAAACACCACCCACACACATATGTGTGTACACGTACACATACACATGTGCGCACACAAATACATACATACGTACATACACGCGCGCGCCCGCAGGTACCTGACTTCCTCCCTCACGGAGTTCAGCAAAAGGTGGGCGGTGCAGGTGGAGGGGGAGGGAAGAGGGAGTGAGGGAGAGGGGAAACGGGGTCTGGTAATCTTATTGGGTTGTGGGCAGGTCGGTCAGTCGGTTCGTTGGTTGGTTAGTTGAACTTGCCTAGGGGTCCATGTGCGCCCTCGCAAACCTCTATGCGCGGGCCCTCCCACACACCCCCCCGCCTTCAACCACTATCTCCACCACCACCCTATTCGTGTGTCACACCTCAACGCAACACGACACAACATAACACCACTACTTGGGCCGCACCACTCACCACGGCGGCACATCCCCTTCCAAACACACACCCCACACATGATCCCTGTACATGCCTGTCACTCAAATATCCTTAATTCCTGGCCCTACATGCTCGTCCATGGTTGGTGGTTGGTCGTTGGTCGTTGGTCGTTTTCCCTCAGTTCCGGTCTGAGTGAAGGGCACCATCGTGCTGCCCATCGCGGGTAACGCCTGCGAGCACATGACGGCGGTCATTGTGGCCACGAAGAACAAAATGGACTTGTGAGTGCCCCCACCCGCGAGAGGTGTCGCGTGTGGGGGTGGGTGGGTGGGTGGGGGGTTAGGGCCACGTGGAGGGGGGGGGGGGAATGGGCGACTAGATGGCTGTAGAGCGATAGAGAGATAGAGAGATATACATATAGACTTGCCACACACAAATATACTACATATTTTGGCATGTATGTATGTCTGTATTTATATGCGTGTGTGCGCCCCGTGTGTGCTCGCAGGTCTATGGGGGTGGCGGTCGGCTCGTCCATTCAGGTGGCGCTATTTGCCGTACCCTTTGCTGTGGTGGTTGGCTGGATTACAGGTAAGTTGGTTGGGTTGGTTAGCTGGTTTCATACATGTCGGGAGCTGGGGGCGAGGGAGTGGAGCGCCTGTCAGTCAGCCCCTCCTGCACGTTCGTCTTCACCGTCGCCTCCGCCAGTCTCCCCTCTTTTTCTATCTTTTTCTGTATATTTATCTTTTCCGCTCCGAAATCTGTCTTCGAACCGACATGACTCCGACATGCGCTCGATCCGGAATGTGGTCAACCACTTCCGGAAAGGCGATCTCACTTCCCGACCTCAACCACATCGGGTTCCCTTCCTCTGACCCAGTTCGTGTTCGGTTCCTTTCCTTCCTTTTTGCCGCCTTCAGACCACCCCTTCACGCTGGACTTCGACCCCTTCTCCGCCATGGCGCTGATGCTGTCCGTGGCGCAGGTGCGTGCGCCTGTATGTATGTACGTATGTATGTCTATGGGAGGAAGCGTTTTGGGGGGAGAGTGGAAGGAGCAACAGCGGGCAGGGGAGAATGGGGAGGGAATTGGGGGAAGGGGTGGGGTGGGGGGGTTCCCGCGAGCTGTTCGCAAGGCTGTGTGGGGTCCATACCGGGGTCCTGGACGGGGGCACCACAGGGGGTACCTCACACCACCCCAACTGCACACCCACCGTCCCTCAGCGCCACCACACCACCCTCAACCCCCCCACCCCACCCCACCCCACCCCACCCGGCGCACAGTCCAACTTCGTGACGGCCGGCGCCACCTCCCACTGGCTGCTGGGGGTTCAGCTCATTGCGCTCTACGTGCTGCTATCACTGGCCTACTACTTCAAGTAGGGGAAGGAGTGACTGTGAGAACTGGGTTATGGATTTGGATCTCTGGAGATCTCTCACAGCGGTCACAGGTGGATTTCAGGGTTGGAGCTGGATTGGATCCGCTGCAAACTCTTTTACGGCTGTTGCTCAGCAGCAGCAGCAGCTTCAAGGTGCAAACTGCAATAAGGGCACCGAGAAAGGACGGAAGATGGGGCAGCTAGTCGTACGGCTGGTACGACATAAAGCCCGTCAGGAGCTTTCAAAACGTGCTTACTACTTGCTGCTTCACAGACCAGCTGACTGACAGACAGACAGGCAAACGGACATACATACATACATGCATATCTAGTACATTCCTTGCCTACAGAGGGTAATACAGACCGACAGATATTCATCTCGGCTTGACGAACCGGACCCGGACCCGGACTTGATGTCCCACCGTCGTCCTCAGTCGCCCTTCAGTGTTTGTAAGTGTGTGAAAGCGGTTTGGGGTTGCTGTGACGCCGACCTGATGCGCCTTGAAAAGCGGGCTGCTTTTTGCAAGGAATTGATTTGTGTACATGTATGTCTGCATGTGTGTCTGCATTTGTGACCGTAATGTGATCACGATGCGGAAGAAGATGTACGGCAGGCGGCAGAGGGCGGCCAGCCAGGAGTCGACTCCAGCCAGGAGTCGTCACCGCCGCCGGCCATAGTATATAACACCGTACATTAAGACTCGGAAACTGGAGGGAATGCCGTACATTCACCACCACCCCACGCCGCCCTCCCCTGCGCCGCCCAGCGCAGCGCCGCCCTTCCCTCATCCGCCCCCCGCAGCGCCGGCCCCCCCCTGCGTTGCCCAGTTGGTCGTGTGAGGATCCGGGTGGGTCCCCCACCGCCTCCACAAAAGCTGGTGGCCGACCAAAGATTATAGCAGTCCCGGCCCAGACCAACTTAAGACCCAACTTCCAAGGAAACGATGCACGCAGGACCCCCCCCACCGAACCACACACACACGCACACAAACAGGCGATGTGCCCTTTGGCTCGGGGTTTCTTTGCCTTGCGGTATAGAAACTTGGTAGCCCTCTGTAATAACAACAACATCAACAACATCAACATCAACAACATCAACAACATCAACAACACACATACATATCCAAAGCTGCCCACCGACCCACCCGTGAGTAACTGAACGTGTTGCCGTAACGCAGTTTCCGGGTCCTCAGACACACCAGGTCGGAGGGGTCGTCAGCGTCCTGCGGGCAAATGCAAGAGGGCATCATCCGGTTGATATCCGGGTCGAACACGAAAGTGTACTGCCATTTACCCCCAACATCACATTACACATGACACCCCGCCCATGCACACCTGTGTGCGTGTGTATGTGGGGGAGAGCGGGGGGTAAGGCCCTGGAGCAGCGTTCTCAAGGTGAACGGGGGCGTCGCACACCATTCAAATCACACGCCAGCTTTTCAAGTTTTGGTTTGAGCCCCCGGGATTGGGGGATTAGACCGTTTTTGCAACCCTCTGCTGTCCGCTCCCGACACACGAGGGGCTGCAACGAGGAGGGCCGCTTGTCTAGTCTCGACACAAGGGGTTGGGACGGACGAGGATCACTGTCATTTGTCCATTTCCCACTATCAGTTGTTCACTAATGACCCGCCGCTGTCCTCCGAAGGTGCTGCAACAAAATACCCAGATATGCGAGCATGCCTATTGGGGTACAAAACCGTGTGGGATTGGCAAGGAAAGAGATCTCTTGACTTACAATGAGAAGCAAGTCTGATCTAGTGGCAGTCTGATGCCAGTCTGGGGCGCACAGCGTTGCACTCCAGCATTCGCACGGATGGGGGCACAACCCAAACCGGATCCCCGCATCTGGGAAACCGGACAACCCAACACCGCAACAAGGTCGTCTTAGTACCCAACAGAGGCCGGAAAACCCTGAATCACTGTCACGGGTACTGGTGCCAGGGTCGAATAACTGTATGGAAATTTTTTTGGTAAAAGCCGAGGAAAGAGTGTCAAACTTACTACGTTACACCATCACTGTTAAAGCGACAGTTGTCTTGTTGCGCCCAATTATTGCGCAAACCTGCCTTTTGGGGGGAATTTCTGCACCCTGCCGTACGGCTGCCGTACCAGCGATGATGAATTTCTGCGCACGCAGTCCTGAGGGCCCTGACTCGAAGTCAGCCCCACCCTGGAGTTAGTTGGTACCGCTTTCATGTACTTCCTCAAAGATACTGCTTCTCTAGTACTGTGATGTTTTATTTGTTATATTCAAGATAACTGAACTGAACTTGAAAGGCGCCACCACAGTTGCCGGTGCCATTAAAGGACACCCGTCCTGGGACACAGGCTCAGGCACAGAAATAGACTTAAAAGGTTACATAAAACATAGCTATAAGCGTAAATAAACAAAATGTCTGACACCGAATCACTTAGCTCTATACTTAGGTCTATAGTCCATGGCCCCCCCGGCTTTTACGGACACACCCGCACTTGTGTGCGGAACTTGTAACTTGTAACTATAGGTAGTGATGATTCGTGGTATGGCCAGCTCGTTGCCGGCAGCGACAGCGGCAGCGCCAGCGACACGGCTTCGGACAGTGACAGTATGTCCGATACTGTCGTCCGTGGCGCTGGCGCAGCAGGACTGGTCGCGGGCACCGGTGTTGCTGTCGAGCACACCGGGGCGCAGACCGCCGCACAGGGCGGGGCACCTCCACCCCATCCGGACCTGCCAGCATTTGCTGCGTTGGCGCGTCCACTGGCCCACCCGGGGCCGACTGCGCCGATATCTCTAGTATCGCCCACCATCAGAGCCAGGAAGGTGTTATTCAACATCAGCTCGAACAGCGTGGGCACATGCATGGGCTTCAGCTCCAGCCCGCGGCAGCGTGTAAACTTCGCAACGACACGGTACAAAGGTGGCCGGTACGTTGCGCCAGCAAACCTAAGGGTAGATCCACTCGGCGGGCAACCCCGCCGAGAACTACAGCGCGACGTGAATGCACGGCAGCCCGTACTCGTCGTCAAGGGGGAGTATGTCGGTCGAGTGGGGCTGGTTGCGTTCACCGCCAGCGTGGAAAGCGCATGAGGGGCTACATCGCGACAGCACATGTACGTGCCGTGTCGCGGTGGTGGGCATCGTTTGCTCCCACCTTCGTGCCGTATACCAGCTGCACGGTGGTGGTTGCGTCGGAGCACAGGAGCGCATCGTGGCGGGCGCCCTTGTCGCCCTCCAGAACGTGGGTCAGTTGGTGACGGTGCTGCCACCGGATGCCGTCCTCTTCCGCAGCCTGTCCACGCAGCCGAAGTTCCTGACGGCGGCGGCCCGGACATCTCGGGACGCTGGGATGGAGAAGCCCGCCATGTGCCAGCTGCGCGCTACCGTGACTTTCCGAGACGACGTGATTGTCTGCTCCTGCCCCCTCTTTGCTGCACACGGGATGTGCATGCACAGCGCAGTTGTCAGCAAGGCGCTTCCGGAGAACTGGCGGGCCTACGCACGTGGCGACAGCCGGCACCAACGACCCGTCGTCTATGCTGGGCCCGTGAGTGAGGCGGACCTGCGTTTGTTGGTACATTCTCTTCCCCTCGCCGCCTACGAGGCGGAGGTCCGGACCATGCCCCCGGTTGAGAAGTGGGCGCCCGCGCCAGGCAGCCTGGAGGGCTGCATGCACATCGGCAAGGCAGAGGCGCGTCTTATGCGGGAGCTTGCACAGGGTGCAGGGCGCTATGAGGGGCCCGCGGTGATGTGCACCACAGCCACAGCCAGTGCGCTCTTTGATGGCACACGGCGCGGTAAGGCTCGTGACTTGTGCTCCCAGTTGGATGCTTTGCAGCAGGAGCTGACGTCGGGGGAATGGGCGGAGTTGGAGAGCAGCATGGATCACATACTGGGCATTTTGGCGCGGAGGAGGGAGGCAGCCACAGTGGCGGGGTGCCCCGTCACAGTGGCAGAGTGGCCCCGTGTGCCTCGTCACCTGGAGCGGAACACCAGCAGCAGTGGTGAGGGCCTCGTCGCCTCGCCAGAGGCGCGGGCGGCCCGTCCCACGGACCGGCGGCGCCTCACAGACCGCGTGGTTAAGCCCCTGCAGGGTGGGCGTCGGCAGCGGCAGCGGGACGAGCCGGGCATGAACACAGAGGAGGAGGAGGAGGCTGGGAGTGGGGCCGAGGTCGGAGGCGAGCTGGCGCCCGCCAGGGGGCCGGGTCGGAAGAAGAAGAGGAAACCGGCGACACGTGGGGCGACACGTGGGGCATGACGCGGATCGGGTTTGATTGGCTGGAAGTGTGGCATTGCTGTAAATTAGCTCGAGTGTTACAGGGGGGCAGGATTGACAAGAAGAAGTCCCTGCATGAAGGGGAACTAGGCCTGTAATTTACCATGACATATATAAGCACCTGCTCGAAGCCAGAACTAATCATTCTTTGAAAATCACCACCGCTCGTACGTGTCTCTTCGTCGCTTTCTTTTTCCGTTGGGGGGTTGAGGCCACGCCGGGTCCGGGGGATGGGGAGCGGGAAAGCGGGGATGTTAGGTGCCGTGCCGTGCCGTGTCGTGTTGCGTCAGGGCAGCCAGCGTGTCTTCCGGATCTATCGTATCTTGTCGCGTGTGTATAAGTGTATGTATGTACGTATGTATGTATGTGTGTGTCGTTCGTGGTCTGAAAGGACCCTCAGTGAAGGTTACGGTGCTGCCATGATGGGCCGTACGAGTTCGCTGCCGTGCGGCTCTTTCTCCGGAAACGCAGTTTCGGTGCTCCCTACAAGGTAGAAGGGATGCCAGAGGAAGGGGAGGGGGGAAATGGGGCTGTGACAGCTCTGGCTGGCTGGCGGGCACATCGTGGTACAGGGACGTTTATACTGCAGAAGTATGGCAGGATGTAACATGCAGAGGACAATGAGCGCCAATGTCTCTGTTTGTGGCTGCTTGTAAGCTGACCGGTATTTGCGCTCATCGGCAGGGCCCCGGGCGACAGGCCTGCCCCCGCTGGCGCCGCGCGCGCGGACTCAGCCGGCGGAGACGGGCATCGGCGCGGGGACGGCTGGCATGGCGGCGGTTCAGTTGGAAGACGATGAGGACTACTGTGTTATTGTGGAGTAGTCATATAGATGTGTGTATGTTTGATAGCTGTGTTGAGACATTAGCCCCTTTGTGTTTTTAGAAACTCAACCGCGAGCGAGGGTGTTGACCGGCGAGCCGTTATCCCCGTTTTTGTTTGTTTTACCAACATGTGTTTTGCTTTGCTGTTTTGTGACGATGGCAAACTTTACTGACATTGCGTCGCGCGACGCGTGGTTTTCGCGATGCAAGCAGATGGCTCGGGTCCAGGACAAGCTCGATGGCTTTGTTTATTTACGCTTATAGCTATGTTTTATGTAACCTTTTAAGTCTATTTCTGTGCCTGAGCCTGTGTCCCAGGACGGGTGTCCTTTAATGGCACCGGCAACTGTGGTGGCGCCTTTCAAGTTCAGTTCAGTTATCTTGAATACAACAAATAAAACATCACAGTACTAGAGAAGCAGTATCTTTGAGGAAGTACATGAAAGCGGTACCAACTAACTCCAGGGTGGGGCTGACTTCGAGTCAGGGCCCTCCGGTCGTCTTGCAATTTGTGCAACGGGTACAACGGAAGGACCCGCTTTACCAGCGGCGTTTGCCGACCCCTGCTACCCAACATCAGGGTAAGAAAGTCATCGAGCCAAGGGTCCTGCGAATGCAATCACTAACCCTGAAATCATACCGGAATGCCCGGCGTCGCTTGACAGTTCGCATGAATCACATTCATTCTTCCGCCGTACCGCAAGCGCGAGAAGTGCGGAACCAGATTCCTCCTATCCGCGAAACCAGACTCTGCTTGCGGATGCGGACGGAAACTGTTTTCGCAAATTTACGCTTTCGCAAATTTCCGTTCCCGCTCTTTCCCTGCTTCAAAGTGAGCAATGGCGTACAATCCGTACGTCCGATAAAAGTTGTGTACAGTGGTCCCAATGGAAAATAAAATGAAGGAAATTTGTTAACTGTTCATGAAAAACTTGAAAATTTCCTAACCGCTGGCCAATGGAAAGACCCTCATTGACGACAAATGAGAGCCAGCAGATGTGCGCTGCCGTCACAGAGGCTGGCTTAGACTCCGCTGATTTAGATGAAGATGACTTGAAGATACTGTGGACAGCTAAATTCCGCACCGCTGCACGCCTGCGTGCAGCTAGACGGGAAGATCTCGTCGATGCGGGTCTGGCGCCTGGCGTGGTGGTCAGCATTCTGCAGGCCTTAGGTAAATTCTAAGGGCGGTTTCTGTGCCACCAACCTGTAAGAGTTGCGCAAGGAGCTGTTAGGAGTGTCATTGGACGCATAGGGCGTTAGGGCCTCGTCAAGCCCTGCGAGAATTGTGCCACAATTGTGCTGCGGTGCTTAGGCATTGTGGTTGAGAGTAGACAGGACGCTGGTGGCGAGTTCCAAACCTAGGTTTTGCAGGTTGCCTTTGCAAACTTGCGCGTGAAGCTAGCTTGGGTGTTAAGAATGCTGCATGAAGATTGTTACTACATGCAAGGCGCGTCGCCTCTACCTGCACCCGCCACATATCGGGAATCCAGGATGCATGTGCTCATCCTTACATACCGACCTGCATTGGTTTTTCACCGTTATGTTCCAATGAGCATTGTTGTGTTTGCGAAGAGTCTGGTGGCTTTGGTAGCTGCATGCCCCTCCGATTTTTTGCATGCTGAACGGCCAAATCCACGGCTTCTACCGCAGTGGTTCTGGACGAGAATGCCACGCGCTTCTTCGCTACACTGCATACCATGCACGGTCTTCTGAACCGTTGGTCATCTGTGTGTTCCTTTGCCAAAAGAGCACACCCCTGCTATGTCGTGACAAATGACCTACCTGCGTAATTCACCCTCTTTTTCCCTGTTCGATGTACAGGTGCTGCAACTGCTGCCCCGCCACCGGGTCCCAGCTCTGGTGAGTTCGCCTCATTTTTACGTTAACTTCTTGGAGCTGAATGCAGTGTTATAAAGTAATATATTCCTTAAGCAGCCCCTCACACAAATGTGTCCGGTCGTACTGTGCCGAATAAACCCTTCTTACAAGATGCCCCAAAGCCAGGCGCGAATTTTACCGCGCGGATGCGCGCGTGCGATTCTCAAAATGCGCCTGTACAAGTGTATGTAATTTGTTTGGCGAAAAAGGCACCGGTGTGCCAGCGCGCTGCGCCGGAGGGCATGTTGGCCACAGCCGCACGCGGCAAGCAGGCCCGGACGAATGGGTGGCTGTTTTGACGTAACGGAAAGCATACAACTTTGCTTGCAAGACCGGGCTCATGGAACGGCCGCGGGAAGAGGAAGCGTCTGGCGAAAGCTACCAAAAGCAGGCGCCTCTTCTTTTCGGAAAGTGCCAAAAAGAAGAGGCGCCTGCTTTTGGTAGCGCAACACAAACAGCACCCTGTTCCGACTAAAGTCACATTACAAACTGACACAAATTAAATATAATATACACAAATTAAACATAAGAACAGGAAAGTCGTTCAGAACCGTGTGGGTGACATGGACGCCGCTGATGGCTTGGAACTGCTTTTTGGAACAGCCGATACCGACACCAGCGTTTTGGGTGGTATGGGCCTAGCACCCGCCCAACACCCGCCCCAGGGGAGCTCGCATAGAGCGCGCCAGCTGTAGGCAGGTTGGGGTGGGTGGGCGGGGCGCTCGCTCGGGCATGGCACGGTGGATGCATGGGCTGCGGCGGGGGTACAGCCAACAGCCGCTTTGACAGAGTCAACAGAGGCTTTACAGGGCACAAACCGAACCATCTTGGTGAGTTTGTCCACAAACACATAGATCGAAGTATTGCCATCAGGATCGGGAGGCAGATCAGTAATAAAATCCATGGTCACGAAAGACCACTTCTGATCAGGAATCGGCAGCGGAAGAAGCAAACCACCAGGGAGACTGGTATCTGCCTTTACCCTCTGACAGCTGTCACACGTACGACAGTACGCTGCGACCGATTGACGCAGCCTAGGCCACCAAAACGAACGACGCACCAAATCAAGAGTTTTGGTCACGCCCGTATGGCCTGCCAACGGATGGTCATGACAAAGACGCAGAACGGTAGTACGCAAATCAGCATGATCTGGCACAACCAAAGCATCTCCTCGATACCAGAATTGACCACGTTGCGATAATGCAACCGTGTTTTCTGATATTTTAAACCAAGGATCGATACCATACCCATCAAGTACCGATGACTCGAACGCTGAAAAAGAGCATTTCAGCTCGCAGGTGGTGTCACGGAAGGCAGAAATTTCTCCCAACCGTTGAGCACTAATCGTCATAACTTTCGTCGTTTCAACGTCGATGTGTCCCGGAAGCCGAGACAACGGATCTGCAGGATTGCAACGACCCGCGCGATACTGCCATTCGAAATCGAAAGACTCCAGAAATTCCGACCACCGCGCCACACGTCGAGACAACAGAGACTTACGGCGCATGGCGGTGTTAGGTTCGTGATCTGTGACGACCGTAAACTTCACACCTTCGAGGTAACAACGCCACAATTTGAGCGCATGCACGACGGCCAAGAGCTCTTTTTCAGTGACGATGTAGTTCAACTCAGCAGGAATCAGTTTACGGCTCTCAAAAGCCACTGGCCTTCCATGCTGGAGCAAAATTGCACCCAATGCGAAGTCGCTAGCATCCGCGATCACCTCGAAAGGTTCACGAGGATCCGGCAAAGCAAGCACTGGCGCCTGAGTGAGCGCTTCCTTAACACGAAGGAAAGCCTCGTCGCATTTCTCCGACCAAAACCACTTAGTCTTAGGAGAAAGCAAGTCCGTTAGCGGTTTAACCAAAGCCGCATACGCACGAATAAATTTCCTGAAGTAATTAGCAAGACCCAGGAAAGATCGAAGCTCCGAAACATTCTTGGGCACAGGCCACTGTTGGACAACAGCAGTCTTCCGAGGATCGGGCCGTACACCGTCGGCCGATACGATATGTCCCAAAAACGAAACGGACGGTTTGAAGAACTCGCACTTGGACAGCTTACAGTAGAACTGACGCTGTTCGAGATGTTCAAGCACTGCACGCAGATGCTCAACATGTTCATCGGTGGTCTTCGAAAAGATCAGAATATCGTCCAGATACACTACCACGAACGGCAAACCCTGCAAGGCTTGATTCATGGCAGACTGGAAGCAACAGCAGGAGCATTAGTCAGGCCAAAAGGCATAACTTTATACTGATAATGCCCGAAAGGAGTGCGAAACGCGGTACGCTCCAGATCGCTAGGATTTAACCGTAACTGGTGATAACCCTGCGTTAAATCAAGTGAGCTGAAAACCGTCGCACCTCGCAAACAATCCAACAAATCATCTATCCGAGGCAACGGAAAACGATTTTTGATCGTGAGGCTGTTGACTGCGCGATAGTCAACACACATACGTAAAGTGCCATCCTTCTTCTTAACGAACAAGACAGGCGCACCAAAGGGCGAACACGAAGGTTCAATAAATCCCTTTTCCAAAAGATCCGAAATTTGCCTTTGCATTTCCTCTTGCTCAGGGAGCGAATAGCGAAACATGCGTTGAGCAGGTGGACGAGCACCAGGCTCCAAAGGCCGACAGCGTCCTGGCGGAAGCGGAGGAGGGGGACGCTTCGGCTCTTCCACGGGCGGTTCTCACCAGGTCGGCTCAGGCAGATGCGGCACACCGGGCTGTAGCAGGCGTCACACGACGCACCCGTTACAATTGGATACGTACAGGCGAACGACCTAGCCCAGCACTAACCAACCAACTTAGGCCACCCTTAGCAACTCGCAGAATCACTGCCCTACGAAGGCCTAATGGTACTCTGTGTAGCAATTTACAACAGCTTCCTAATATCATGGCGGATTATTGGCAACAAATAGGTGCACAGCCCCATACTGACCCAGTTGCGCGGTCACGTGTCCTCCAAGCGCTCCGTGCGAGGGGTAGGACGTGCTCACCAGAAGAAGCGGCTAGGGCGGGAGCGCAGGTTGTTACAGTAGAGGAAGTGCAAGCCGCCCTCCAGGCGGCAGCCCCGGGCCGTGCTCCGGGTCCCGACGGAATACCGGTGGAATTA